AGGCGTTTTCGTGGGAAAGCCCAGCCGGGTGGGGGTTGGGGGGCGGAGCAAGGGCGGCTACGCTTCTCCCGTGTTAAAGGGCGACGGGGGACGCTGGGCAGGCGCGGTTCTTGGGGACGGTGGGAAGGGTGGCTGGAGAGCTTTGGGGTGAGCGAGAGAGAGGCTCGGCGGCGGAGAATGATGGGAAGCCGGCCGGGAGGCCTGGCCTGGTGGTGGAAAAAAGGCGAGAAATGTGTAATTATCAACCGCAGCAGCCTCGCCTGTGGGGCGGGGAGCCTCGGAAAGTTGGGGGGGGGTTCCGCACGTTTGTGGGGGAGGCCCGTGGAGTAGTTGGCCTCGAGCGGAGAGTTTTGGGCGCGAGCGAAGAACCCCCGTCCTTTCGCTGCTTTTAAAGAAAGGAGGAGGTCTGCGGGTCTCCGAGGGCGGGGAGAGAGGCCATATATACAGGCTCCTGGGGATGTGGGAAGAGCGCCTTGTATCACATCCGACGGGGTTAGGAAGACTTTCTTAGGTGAGGGCAGGACGTGACCCAGCCGAGGAATCTTAACTACCTCTCAGGGATCCTTCCCTGGTGAGGCAGCTTGCGAAGAAAATGGCTTTGGAAAAGAGATACAGGTAAAGAGCAAGACACGGGACTCGGAGCTTCTGTATTGGCTGATAGGCATCCGTTGCTAACTCGAGTGTGATTGGTGCTGGCAAGAGGAGCTCTTTTGCTGGGCATATGAGAAAGAACCTAGCTTTCTTGACTGTAGCAGAGCTGGAGATTCTGGCACCATCCTTGGCATACCTAGTGGGGGAGGTGCATTCTGATGCCGGGGATCTCCGTTTTCCAGGGGCGTAGTATGTGTATGAGAAATAGTCTTGCATGTAGATAATGTGAGATGATATTTAGTGGCAATCTCTTAAATTATTGGAAAAGCAAAAAATATCTGTTTTAGGAGACTGAGAGAATAGTTCAGGCAGATAATGGCTAAGGCTGAGAGAGCCTTTTGTGTGTGTGGAGGTGGGATGCAAGCATAGTGAAACACCGTAACTGGCTCTGGGGTGAATGAATGCTCAGAGCTGCTGTTTTCCCTTGCTGAAGCATGTGTGTTGAACCTTGATGCAAACAATCCTCTTCTTCTGCTCCCTCCCCCATCCTTGCAGGAAGTGGCCTGGAAATGGCAGCTGTGTTTGTTGCTTTTGAAATGTTCCTTTTAATCAGATATGGTTTCAGTTCACGGCTTTCCCTAAGCTCCTTGGTTAGATTATCCCTGTTCCCCAGAAGCCAAATATAATAAAATAAATAAATAAAATTCCTGCAGTTTGAGGATATCACCCTTTAAAACATTACATGAGGTTTAAACAGGCAGTCGTATGCATATAATTTAATCTAGCAAAATGGCAAATCCTACAGTGTGATCCATATCTATGGACTTGCTCAGAGACACCAACCCTTTCAAGTATTCATGTATACCTTTCAACACTTGTACTAAAATTAAATTTAAAAGAATTAACTACTTACTATGTTTTTCTCACACATAAATATTTTCTCATGGCATCCTATTCTGAGTAGTTTTTAAGGCAGAGGAAGATATCCTTGCATAAATATAGCTTTGAAGTTGCACAGACATTAAAATGATTTTCAATAAAGAATATACTTTTTAGACTTTAAATAATTTACCAACATTTGAAGTGAAGAGATACTGTACCCTTTCATTGATGTCTCAGCAGGTGGCAGCACCTGACTGACCTTGACTTAGTCTGATTTCAGAAGCTAAGCAGAGTCAAGCCTGGTTAGGATTTGGATGGACTTTCAAAGAATACCTGGGCTGTAGGCTAGATAAGGAGTTTGTACTTCGTAGTAACTAAACCATATCCTTTTTTATGCATTATTACAGTTTTAATACTTTACATCTGCTCTTCAATGCACAAATCCCGGGAGTAGCTGGGAATATATGAATGCATGTAAATGGTCTTGCATGGAAAGAGTTATATCCGTTAGGGCAGGTAGTGTTTGGAGAAAAAATACTTTTTTCCCTCCAGCATTTTTTTTCATTTTTCAGCAAAGGAAAAAATGGTTTTGTCAGCCTGAGGAATAGTTTCAAGAGATTTAAAGACTCTTCTATTCATCAGTAGGATCATCAATAGATTTATGCCTGTGGAGTTTTTTATAACTGGACCTTTGAGGTAAATGTGCTGGAGCTTTTGGAGCAGACCTTCCTGGCTTCATGGGCTGAAGAGATAACATGTTTTACTAAAAATTAAAATTCATAATAATTATATTCATAATATATTTTCATAATATGAATAAAATTCATAATAATTATAATAAGCAGCTTATTCTGATAAATTCAGTTTAAAAATACCAGGGAAAAAGATTTTGCATGGTTCTGAAGAGACAACATTTCTTCTTTACCAGGCAAATACCTTTAGAAAGAAATGCTAAAGCCAAGATATCAGTACAGATTTTCTTTTCTTTTCTGGATATTGTTGACCTCACTTGTATTGTTAAAGGATTTCAAGGCAAACTTTAATACAGGTAATCCTTGTTTACTGACTGCCTCATTTAGCGACCATTCAGAGTTACAACAGTGTAAAAAAACTTTGTGACCAAACTTTGCATTTACGACCGTTACAGTGTCCCATGGTCACTTGATCGCTATTTACATGCTTCCCAACTGGCTTACAAGAAGCAGAGTTAATGGGGAATGCAGAAATAAAACTGTAAGTCATGGTCATGTGATGTTTCGCTTAACAACCAATGGGAAGTGACATAAGTCTGTTGCGATCACATGATTTTCTGTTTAGCAACCATGGCACTTACTGACGGAGTTGCTGGTCTCAATTGTGGTCGCTAAGTGATGACTACCTGTATATAGGACAGTTCTTTATGCCATAAATTGTCTGGCATAATGGGTCTCACCCTTTCATTTCTTAAACCCGACAATCATTGTATCAATCTGAGTCCCACCATGATAGAAACAAAAAGCCCGCTTCCTTGAGAAGGACATACATGTTTAATCAAATCAAATCTTTATTATGGTCATAGACCAGTATTAATATACATGTTTAAGTTTTGATGTGAAAAATTCAATAATACTGCTGACAGTGCTACCATAATTGTACATTAATGAGTGAGAGCTAACTGAAGCAGTGTTTGCTATTGTTGGACTAATCTTCCCTTATGTCCTAACCAAAATCCAAATGAAAGCTACCATACAATTACTTTATTTTACTTTGTTCTGGCTCTTAAACCCAAACTTCTCAGTCTGGTTTGGCCAGGATGCTTAGTTCTTTTTCCTTTACCATGTGACTAGAGAATGGCAGCTCTGCCCTTCTTTTCTACCTGGCTTATCACAGTCTTGTGCAGGGGAGTTGTATTACTTCTGTTTATCATTACGGGTATGCATGCTATTGGATGAGAAAATACTGGCCTAGAATAAGCAACTTCTTCCTAGATAGTTGTTGGTAGACCATTCCTGGTTACTTGTTTCACCTAGCATTTTCAAGTGAATTGGTTTTGTGAGGCAAAAACTTACAGCAGGGTTTCTCAACCTTAGCAACTTTAAGATGTGTGGGCTTCAACTCCCAGAATTCCCCAGTGACTTGAAGCCCACACATCTTAAAGTTGCTAAGGTTGAGAAACCCTGACTTAAAGGATTATTTTTTAACAATGGCAAATTATGTGTGCTGTAGTTAAGGAACTTTCCTTGATTCCTTATTTTTCATTCCTTGAAAATTAAATTGAGCCTATATTTTGAAGTAGAGATGGAAGGACCCACATGATCTAACCCCCCCCCCTTTTTTTTGTAGCTTTGTGGTGTGATTTTTGGCAGGAAGTTCAAATCATAATCAGAGTTGGAAGAGCTCACCACCTCGGATGGCCATTTTGGAGCTGCCTTGGCATAGGTGGAGCAACAAGTCCCCCACCTGGTGCTGGTTAGAGCAAGCTGTGAGGTGGAGGAGGAAGAAATGGCAGTGGCAGCAGCATAGCCTCTGGCTCCTATGCAGAAGGAGGTTGCTGATGTTTGTCCTAGCTATTGTTTAAACACCTCCAGTGGAGAAGAATTTACCATCTCCAATCTCTTCCATTGTTGAACACTCTTACAGTTAGGAAATTTTTCCTGAGGTCCAACCAAAATCTCCTTCCTTATAATTTAGATCCATTGTTCCTTGTCTTCTTGAAGAACTTTGAACAATTCTGTCCTGTCTTCTACATGAGATGCCTTCTTATAACTGAAGATAACTATTACGTCTTGTAGTTTTTCCAGGCTAAACATACCAACTGTTCCTCATATGTTTACCTTCCAAGCATTCTATTATTTTGGTTGTTCTCTTCTTGATATATTCCAGTTTCTCAGTGTTCTTCCTAAAATTTAAACACAATATTCTAGATACAGTCTGACCGACTGTTGATGCAACTTAGAATTGCATTTGGTGCTTTTGCAACTGCATTACACTATTGACTCATGTTCAGCTTGCAGTCCACCAAGATAGCAAAGACCCTTTTTACATGCTCTGCTACCCAGTATGGTGTTCCCCCATCCAATACTGATGCCTCTGGTTTTTCCTATCCAATGTAGGATTTTGCATTTGTCTCTGTTGACATTCATCTTACTGGCTTCTACTCACTGTTTCAGCTTGTCAAGATAAATCTTGATACTGACTTCTAAGATATTTCTTCCCCCTCTCCTCACCATCTTTGTCTGGTCTACACCTTCCTTATTACACCTACCTCCCATTTCCTTTCCATTTCCCATTTCCCATTTCCCATTCCATTTTCTTTTTAACCATTAGGTCAGATGAAACTCCCTTTGCATCCACAATGGTTTCCCAAATTTCCTCTTTTTTATAGCACTCATTAGATTAGTATGTGACTATACTTTCAGTATTTTATTTTTGAGAAGTTCCCAACCATCCTGCACTCCCTTTCACCTGAGGACTTCTATCCATGAGATCTTATCTAGTACTTTTCTAAGCTTGTTGAAATTCACTAAATGCGAATACAGTATCTGACTAGGTTCCAGTTTGTCTTTCTGTAATGTCCTGAACCAAAGATGACATGGTCACTTCCTCTCAAAGTTCTCACTGCTTTTTACCTTTTCTGTGTGCTTTTCCCTATTGATTGGCATCAGATCTAAAAGAGTGGATCCTCTTGTTTCTTCTTCAGACTTCTGAAAAATAAAGACAAATAAACTAGATGCCTTAAGTTTTTGAACTTGCATGAGTTGAACAGCCTCCCCCACCCCCCAAATTGGGAAATTCTTTCCCAAATCTTGAAAAGTAAAAAGATTGGGCTCAAAATCTTGCACCTTGCTCCATCTAGTCAACAAAAATACATAGCCACAGGATACAAAAAAGATGTTCATCTTTTTGAGATTTTTTTTTAAAGGATCCAGTTAAATAGATAAAGAACTCAGTAGTTCACAGTGACTGAGAACAGTTGCTGCCTGAAAAATTGTATGTTCATTCTGTACTTTTTCATCCTGGATGTTGCATTGCCTTGCTTTGCCCATAGCTGATTATTACTTTTTAGAAAGTTCTGACTTCCTGTTATAAATCTAGGATCTTCCTCATCTTTCATAAAAGGAAAGCTTCAATAAAATATTGTCCACCGTACATTTTCTGGTTAG